TCTTGGCTCCTGCCAGGTTGTGTGACAAGCGTGTGTGTGAGTGCAGTGTCCTGATTCCCGGAGATGCTGAATGAAAGCCCAACTCTGCACGATCCCCTGGCCCACACCTCCGAGCCTTCCCTGCTGGGAGGAGCACCTGGTGTGCACAGGCCCTTGGATCAGGGATGTGTGCGCCTATCTAAGATTATGCTACAGGAATTCAGGCCAAAGGTAATGACTTAGATTTTTGGCAGACTTAGATTTTTGACTGAAATTTCACATCACAGTGCTCTAATTGTAATTAATTATGGTGCTGCGTTTCTTTACGAGGTTGTAAAGCACAAAAGCTGAGGTTGCAGGATGGTCTTGAATGATTGACTAAAATTGTCTGCTTCTCTAATGCTAGACAGAACATATAAAAGGATAAATCCTATTAAAACCCCTCCTTCTGGAGAGCAGAAAATAAAGGGACTCAAAGTCCATCACTCTCGTGTGCTGCCCAGGGCAGCACTGGGGCCACAGACACTCTTGCCGATGGCTATTTTGTGTGTGCTGCAGGCTTCCTAACAGAAAGGAGGCTTTGTAAGAGCACAGAAACATGCCCATGCTTCTTGGATGTGCCCTGGGACAGAGCTGAGCAAACAACGTGAAAACAATATGTGGTATTGATTACTCAGCAAATACGAACAATCCCATACTCTTCACAGCTATGCCTTTATTCAGCATTTTTCAACCTTTAAAAGAGTTGAAGTCATTCTACTTTGCCGCCTCTCTCCTTTGCTCAACTGCCTTCTGCCTAGAACAGGCCACGTCCTACTGGGGCAGGGAGCTTTGTACCCAGCTCACTGGCCTCCAAGGTCCTGTTTATGTGCACCTTCAGTGGAAGGAGGTCCACTCTCCTGCTGCTGCCACCTCCTGGTTGAGCAGCACCTTGTCCAGAACCGCCTCGTCTTCATTCTCATTGTATTTATTTCTGCTGTGCTGCTTTTATCTCATGCGTATATGAAAGCCTTTAAGAAACATCAGAGAGTAACGGAGACGGAGGTGCCGAGAATCAGCAACTGTAGAAGCCCTGGGCTCTGTTCCCCAGTGCTGTTGTATTAAAGGATTGTCCGTGGTGGTTTGCCCTTTTTGAAAAATGGAAGCATCAAAGTTTTAAACTCATGCTATCATTAAAATAACAACATTCATTGTTTGAAACACAAATTAATTGTGAAGTGAGAGTTTGGGAAGTCTTAGCCAGAACGCAGTGCTGAACTTCATCTGCATTTTGTAGCCACCACATCCAGTCCATCACCCTCTGGTTGTAGCAGCAGAGAGAAGGACGCAACCCCTGTCCTGCTGTTGTTTTATGGCTGATGATTCAGGAAGACAGAAAAAATGCCCTCATTTTAGCAGCTTTCATTTGATCATTGTCTCCCACCTTCCCCAGCCTCTGGGAGATGCGTTTATTGCCAGCTTCACTGCAGAGGAGACAAATAAGTAACACAGATGTTGGCGTTTGTGGCACCTTTACAGACACCTCCATGACACCTGTCATATCATACATTGCATATTGGATGTAACGTGAGCAATTTATGAGTCCAGATGCATCGACTGCTCTCCTTGTGCTCCTGCTGACATTCCCCGGAGATCGATATCCTGTAAAAAGCCTGAAGATTGCTTCCTTTCAATGGTGAGTGCCTGCTCCATGCCTTGGAGATAAGACATTTCTACTCTTGGGCCTTAGTCACCATAAAATCATAACGTGATTCTGTAGAATTGAAAGGTGATAAATAAGCTTAGGAAATGATGGTGTTTCGGGGAAAAAAGTGGACTCACTGCCGCGTCTCCTCAGTCCTTCCTTCCGGCACTCCTCTGTTTCCATGGAGACAGTGCTCCAGCAGGACCACCTGAACAGGCTGACACCCATGGACTCGGATTTCTTACTTCTCATTATTTTATTTCAGAGAGAGTTTTAAAGTGTGCATCATGTCCATTTAATTTTATTGACAATGTTTATCTAATCTATCTGCCTGCCAATCTACTCATCTATCCACACACACCTACTTTATTCAAGAAAGAATTTAAGGTGCTTTCTTCACTAGAAAAGGTATCTATTATTTTTCAAGCTCAGAGAAAAATGTTAGCTTTTAAATAATGACACAACTGTATTAAGTTGTTTCTTCTATAACATTTTGTTAAATGAATTCAAGATGCTGTGGAACTCCAAATGCTTAGGAAAACATGGCATCCTTATGGGAAATTGTGTTTTGAATGACACATGCTGTAAAGGACAACCAAACACATTTGTATGTAAAGATAAAATTCAAAAACTTTAAAAAATGTTTGCAAACAGATCCAAGATTTAAAAAAATAAGATAATCTATACAGAAACTGCATTTCGTATTTGATGAAATTTAGTGTTAAAAAACTTAATAAAATAGGATTTGATAAGTATTTTCATAACATGGTAAGATACACCTATCTCAAACCAAAAGACAATATCAAGTTAATTTCTTCAACAAATAATAAGAAAATTAGTAAGATGTAGGGATAAAATTGATGTACAGAAACCAATAGCTTTGGATGATATAGCACAAGAAATTACTCCTATTTAATTAGCAAGAAAAAGTTCCTAGGAATAAACTTAGCAAGAAAGTGAAGATCTATATGAGATATGTTTTTATCCACTCTCGAAAGTTTATAAAAGAAAACTTGAACAAATAGAAAGACTTATGATGTTCTCGACTAGGAAGACTCAACATCATAAAATACCAACTTTCCCAGACTTATGCAAATTAATGCACCTAAATAAAAATAGATTGAAGTTTTTCTGGATCTTTGTATTTTATTTATTTATTTACGTATTTTACTGTGAGGTGAGAACTAGATAATCCGATTCTAAAGTTCAAATAGAAAAAGAAGCAAACAAAAATAGGAAAATTCAGAAAAAAAAAAGAGTAAACAGAAAGAATTAGCCTTACCAGTTCTTAGATCATATAATAGTTTTAATAACTAAAACACTGTTGTACTGGGTCATGAACAAACACACGGAACAACAGAAAAGCACAGGAAATACAGATAGACACAAAAATAGGAGGGAAATTAGTAAGTCATAAAAGTGACATCTAAAATTGTTAAAAAAAAAAAAAACTATGTGATAAATGGCATTAGGACAACTGAGTAGCATTCAGCAAAATAAATAATAAAAGATGAAAGTTGCACCCATGTCCCACAATGTATATAAAAATAAATTTCAAAAAGATAAAATATTTAAATGTTGTAAGTAAAGGCATAAAAATACTAAAAGAAATCATGGACAAATTCCATGATTTTTTAAATTAAAACTGAAAAATCCAAATGCAATAAAAGAATTTGTAAGTTAAGCTACACAAAAATAGGAATTTCTGCATGAAAAACTACCATCAGCAAATTAAGAAATCAAGACAGACACTGAGGGAAAGAACGTATTTTCACTTCTTATCACAAGTTACATCCTTAATGTATTAAAAGCTCCAAAAAATCAATAAGAAAGAAAAAGATAAAAAAACTCAATAGATCGATAGGGAAAAAACTTTGATGGAATGATTCAGTGAAAATAAACTAAATAGATGGTCAGCCTTACTAGTAATAGAATAGGAAACCTATTCAATCAGCAAATGTCAGAAGAGATTCACAATGTGCAGGTAAGGAGCCATGGAGAAGCAGTGGCCTTCATGCCTGGGAAGAGCAAATTGCATGACCACAGGCAGGATAATTTGGCAACACCTACAGAATTACCAAAATGTGAGTCCTCTGACCCAGCAATTTCACGACTGATTCTAAAGACAGATGCAAAATGATATATTAGCAAGAGAACAGCATTATCTGTTATACAGATAAACAAAAGATTTGCAAGAATCTGTGTCTATCAACTCCAACCATCCATCCAGTGTGGGACCGAACTACTCCACAGCTGTAAGAAAATGGAATGCTACATGTGTTCATATGGGGGATTATCCAATTTATAAGAGCAAAGTGTGGTAAAGTGCATGTAATCTGCCACCATTTGTGTAAAACACAGAGAAGATGAAGGTGAGCACTCACATTCCTGTGTGTTTGCATCTGCATCAGGAAGCTCTAGGGATGCACAAGAAGTTAATCATAACTCATGCCCTTAGTGCCACATATAAAGAGTTCCTAGAAATCAACAAGAAAGACTTTGTTACACAGATGAGTGCAATGAAACCAGACAGAGGAGGACATGGACGGAGAACAGACTATACTGAATGCTTTTCATGTTTTTCATTTCTGAGCCATGGGAGTTATCTCCCATACAATAATTTAAAATTAAAAATTAAATTTTAGAGAGTGAAATTATCACTTTTCAAGCATGATTTCTTCAAGATATAGGCTGTTTTGTTCAGTTTATGATGCATCTTTTTTCTTTCTATAAATGTAGGGGGTACAGGTGTAATTCTGTTACATGGATATGTTGCACAGTACTGAAGTCTGAGCTGTTAGTGTTCACCCAAAAGATGAGTATTGTACCCATTAAGTAATTTCCCATTGTCCACTCACCTCGCATGCTCACACCCCATCTTTTTATTTAAACAACACTTTCTTTGATGTTTGGGGCCTCAAAGAATAAATACTACTATTTTACAACTAGACAGACTCCCACTGGCTTCACAGACTAATTATTTTGGCACTAGAGACAACAATTAAAAAGCAAATGTTAAGTGGTTTGTATTTATTAATGGGTTAATTTAACAAGAACAGCATTTTCAAACACTGCAAAGCATATTTTCTACAATAAGATTTTCTATTTTTTCTTTTGCCTTTGTTTCCAGCTTCCTAAGTACAGATTCTGCAAAACTATTTCATAAGCCAATTCTGTGGAACCCCTTTCTGGCCATTTCCTGAAGCAAATTTCTTTCCTAATCATCCCCACAACACGAAGGCCAGGTTCTGCAAGTAAAAGGGTGGTGAGACAATTCTGGACTCATTTAAGTGGCAAGCCCAGGAAGTGGAGGCTCGCGCGGTGTGGAAATACTGACCAGATGGAATTAACCACCTTCCCGGAAGCAAGACTGGAGGGCGCTGTGGAGCTTGCCGCAGGTTCTGCTGGATAGGAAAGTGTGTCTCCTCCACCTGCTGTCTGCTTCTGTCCTGTCTTAGCCCAGCAGAGCTGTTTTAACGCAGACATTTGCAGCCTGCGCAGAACTCTCCTGGAACCAGTAAGTCGCCAGTTAGGAAAAAGATCAGCATCGACCAAACAGAGATGTTGGAAACCTGCATTCATCCCCAGTGGAGGCAGAGGCTCTGAATGCTGAAGCCACAGCTGTGACATGGCCACACTCTGCACATGGCCCCAGGCACTCAGATTTCTGCACCCGCAGGGTGGCTCGCAGGCTCCAGAGCTGGGGTTCAGGCCCTGCTGACCACAGTCAACTGTCCCCTGCTGCCTCAGACCAGGGCCGAATTCCTGGTGTGCTTCCCTCCTGCACCCACTCAACGGCTCTGTGGGCCTTTGCAAGCACCTGCCTGGCAGGGCTATGGCAATGTGTGGAGTCAGACGATCGTGCCAAGTTGGGAGAGGACTTACAGTGAGGCAGTGTAGATAAAGCCTGGGGCCCAGCTCCCCAGCAGCACCTGCTCCTGCACTGTGGCCACTGTGGCCACGTGGCTGCTTCTATTTCCTTGAGCTCCATTGCCATCTTATCCCAGGCAGGGCCCCTTCACCCCCTGCACCTGCCACCATCCGTCCTCGCCCCTGACTCCCAAGCCTCCTATCAGTCTTGCTCTTGGGAGGGAAAGAACCCCTGGCTTGGGGAGCCTCCCGGTCCTGAGGTGGCCACCTGCCAAGGCCCTGGCGTCCCCCATCCTGGGGCTCCTGCCCCACCTCTGAGCTCTCCCTCTCCCTCTCATCCCATTGGCCTCTCCTGGCTGGGGCCTTGCTGTCTGTCACCCCTGAACAGAGCTGATACTGACACCCCGGAACGGCAGGGACCTGGAACTGTTCCACTCACCTGCTTCAACTAGCACCTTGAGGACAACCAGCACCTTGAGGACCACCTTTACCTGCACTTAGAGCGTTTAGTTGAACTGTAGTTTTGATAATAATGTAACTGTGTGCAAATACTAGAGCAGGTGACTGTGGTGTGAAAGGGTGAATACTCGGGAAGTGTGTGATTTTTGTCTGAGAAGTTTAGTCAGCAAGCAGCTAATTCATGGCAACATAAAGAAAGTTGATATGCAAACTGCCTTTCCCCTACATCCCTAAGGAGACTGCCAAGAAGACCAGGACATGCTACTACGTATGTTCAAGAAATGATGAA